TTCAACCTCACTATAAGCTTTTTATACCATGTCCACTCTGGGTATGAAAACTTCCAAAACAACAAAACCCCTTTTATAAGCAGTATGAACCAAGCAGGACTTATTTTTAAATAAGTCAAGTTTTAGTATTTTTGTTTTAAAAACAAAAAATAGCATATTTTATTAACCTTCTTTCAGAGTACTGTGTGCCAATATATCCAAATCCATTCCTGGAAACGAGCAGCCGAATTAGAAATGTTGCCCAGTCATTTCAGAAACTACTCGTTTGGTCAATGAATGTGTGACTGTGTCAGGTAAATTCAACTCCGGGAGGACAAGCCAGCAAGAAAACCAAACCTGAGGTTTATTCTGTAATCAGGGAATTTAAAACAGATTTTATTCACCTTGAAAATTTGAAAGCACTGTTAGTGATCTCCATTTCTTCTCTAGTCATTATCATATATTTGTATAAGTTATGCAACTTACTATGTTTCTGACCACTGTTAAAAGTATTTCATTAATTCTCCTCAGCCATGTACTCCAAACTTTAAAAAATGTAATTTTGTTATATTAGGGTGAAAAGTCACTTAAAACATATCATTCAGGGGACACCTGGGTGGCTCAGCCAGTTAAGCGGCTGCCTTCAGCTCAGGTTACGATCTCAGGGTCCTGGGATCAAGACCCGCATCCGGCTCCTCGCTCAGCGGGGAGCCTGCTTCTCCCTCAGCCTGCTGCTCCCCAGGCTTGTGCTCTCTTCCTCTCTGACAAATAAATAAACAAAATCTTAAAAAAAAAACCATATTGTTCAGTACAAATGGGTCTGGAGACCTGGTGCTAAGTACACACATATTATATTCAATAGACATACCGCATCCCAATACCCAATGAAGGAGACTTATGGCACCAAAATATACTGTTGAACAAAAGACTTTACAAAACTAAATTCTGAAATTCAAATGTCTGTGAATATCAATTTAAAAATAAGCCACATCTATTAAGTCTAGAATAAATAATCTGTTAATAACAAAAGGTATAGTGAGAGGAAGGAATCAAGGTAACCTAATTATCAACTAACTACCAAAGTATCTTGAGCATTTTCATCTTTTGTGTTCATATAAGCTCCAAACTCAATAGTGTTCTAAAGCAGAACATGCCACTTAAAAAAATCATAGTATCAAGATAAAAATGTGTCATACTGAAAAAGAACAAGCATCATTCCGTTTGCAACAGAGCTTCATGAAGAACCTCAGAGAATAAATGAAAACTAATGACATGTGATCCTTGTCAATAAAGAAAATAGTTCAGTAATACCACTGCCAAAATGAAACATATCTCATGGAGTTTTTAGAAAAGTCAAACACAAAGAACCACTGAATTTGAGGTCAGGGTATAAAGTACCATTATGTATGTAGTCACCAAAAGTGTTGAGAATTCTTCATACACAAAATGTTCAATTAAAATTTTACAGCATTTATAACAAATAAAAGATAATTAACAACCAAATAGCTTTTTTTAATCCTATCAGTAAAAGGGATGGAATTTAGTTCTGTGAAAAGGAAAAAATAGGAGATACTGGGTTCTAGTCTTGGCTGTAACATTAACCAGCTATGTGGTCAATTCACTTAACCTCTTGTGCCTCAGGATCTTCATCAATATTAAGGGCACTGGATTAAAACCATCCATAAGGTACCTCCCAGTTCTATGAATCTGTGACTATGAATAAAATATAACCCGGGTCACATTACGGTAATAAAAATAAAACTAGAGAAACAACATGAATAACTAGGATGCAAGCTTAAAAAGCTGTGCTTTTCTCACTACCATTGCATTTACGCACTTCTACCTCCCTTTTTTGACTCTCTTACCTTTTTCAAAACAAATATAAAGCATCCCTCTTTATCCTGCCTTTACCTACTGCATGATACCTGTCACCATCCACACAATTTGTTGATTATTTCCAATACTGGCCTGTCAGAGGATGTGACCAAGACTTCTACCACTGTTGATATTATCACAGCAATACAAAATTATAAAATATTATTGCATGGCAGTGTTACTTTAGCCTCGTTTATATTCTTCTATCATTACCACTTGAAAAGGAAAGCAGAAAAAAAAGGATTCAGAAACGTCCCTCAAGTGTCTAATCTCTTGGCAGGAAGTCTACTGACTTGCAGCTCACAAACAGTTCTATCACAATCCTCTAAAAAACAGTTAAATAGAAAGACTATTAATAAGAACGTCAACAAATCAGAGGACAGAGATCAAAACAAATGCTGCCAGTTCACAGGAACAAGGTAGTTAAAAAAGGAAACCATTATGACATTTCTATTCACTCAAGTACTTTTAGACAGTAAATTTAATCTTCGATTACCCATTCCATGTTTTTATTATTGAGCTATTCTAATTTAATATTAGAATTTGGTCTTATCCACACAAACTCAATTGTGCCTTCTCATTATTCCCAAGAAGTCAAAAAATGACTCAAAAACCCAGAATGTTCACGTGTTTATAAAAAAAGTTATTAATGTAAAATCACTGATTACCAGCAATTTTGGTGTTAATCGATAAGGCACTATCTTAATTTAAGAACATGAGCTTTCCATCAAAAATTAACTTCTTAATAAGTGAAGCAAAGTTTTAAAATTAAAATCCCTTGACCAAAAAAGAAAATATTACCTACACAAATGACTTATGTTATTTGAGGAAAACAATTTTGTGTTACAGAACCAAACATGCTGACAACTGTGCTTCCTGAACCAGTGTTCCTACATAGAAATGATGACAAAAGTGACCATATGTCCCCTGTTTGTCCAGAAGGGTAGCAATCTACACCTGTTATCCCACAGTAATTATTAATACGGCCCTCTTTCACTCTCAAAAGCGTTCCTGCTTGGATAAATTAATATGGTCACCTTAGATGTAACTGACACTAACAGGAACTTTGGTCAATAAAAAAAATGAAAATTGTAATTAAGAGTTAACTTCTTTTCCCCTACAGTTAAGTGGAGAGTAAGAGGAAAGAGACCATTTTTCATTCTAAAGAAAGTTTAACAGATTGAACACAAATATCTCCCCCCCATAAAGTATCATGTTCATCACCATGCAAAAGTTATAATAGCAGCCCAATCTGTAGTCGTGAAATTACTGCACAAAGTCCACAAATCTACATACACACCACAAACTGTCTATAGATATTTGTCTCACATGTATGTAGGTACTATTATGACTAATGAAATTAAAAGTCTTGGTTCAGAAAATCTACAACAAAAAGATCAACTATATACTTCAGAAACAAAACCACAAGTTCATAAACATATTCCTGAATTATTTAAAACTGCCAAGATTTTCATATTAAAGAACATATAATTGATGACAGGAAAAATGAACTGTTTGATTATCTGGGAAATTTCCATATTCAAGGGTGGGGAAAAAAATAATGGAGGAAAAAACAGACACGGAAGTAATACTGCTTTCTTACACTGGTTATCAAAATGTCAAGGGATTATGTAAACTGATACTTTTTGAAATCGATGGGCCATAAGGTTTTGGAAATCTTTGTGTTACACAGAGATGATAAGGAAGTAGACTTACAAAAGAAAAACATGTCCGAGGCAGTGGCCCCAAATTCTAGCACCTCGTTGGTCTGGATTTGAGAGCGGACTTTTCACTTTCTAATTTGTTACCCACTCTATGGTAAATCAAGACACAAGAGGCTGGTGAGTGATTTGCTCTATTTTGCAATCTACTAGGGCTATGTATAAAGCAATATACACATTATAATTCCATAGATACAGATGTCCCATTTGACCTACTGTATTATTTAAGTCCTTACAAGATGTTCACTAACCTGAAAGAATATATCCAACCAACCTAACATTTTTAGATATCACTTCACTAAGCTATTTCTTAAAACCATTTCTGATTTTAAATTAGGTGTATCAAATTATATCACAAGCAGTAATAGCTGAAACAGAAGCCATGCCATAAAAAAGGGAAGAGAGTAATTACTAAGAAAGTCTCACTTGCATCATAAACCAGACTCTATTTAAGTGGGAACAAAAGTTTTGATATGACATAACCTATAGATTTTTTTTTTTACTACAACCTTTATTTTCTTTCCATCTGCAATCTAATTAGAGAGCAATTAAGTCTAGAGGCATAAAAGTTTAGTGACTTCAGCATCAGAGAGACCTGGGTTAAAATGGGGGCTCTACCACTTATTAGCTATTTAATTGAGGACAAATTGCTTAACCTCTTTTGAGTCTCGGTTAACTCTGTAAACTAGTTAATATCCTCATGAGGCTTTGCTGTGAGGATTACAAAGTCATGCAAGTGAAGCACAGGACAAAGCACATTAAGCATTCAATACAAGTTAGTTATGAATTTAGCCTAACTAACTCCATCCCAGTCTGCCTGGGGCAGTCCAGGTTTGCACCTGTTGTCCAGGCATAATTATTAATAATGTCCCTTTTGCTCTTAAAAGCATCCTGGCTAAGACAATAAATTAGGTGGTTACCTTAACAATGATGATGATGAAAGGAGTTAATATCAGAGTATTACATATCAATTATGACTTTTTGGATCTTGAAGGAAAAAAAATGAACACCACACAAAATAATGTAGGATTATATTCCTGTAAGATATTCTACTGATATTTCATTTAGTTATGCAATGAACATTTAAATGCTATTTATTTAGACCCATCCCACCCCAACAATGATTTAAGGCAGCAAATTTCCATTTTGTTCTTTCTGTCCTATACGGGTGCTGGTAAACTTCAGACATTATTTTAAAAGAGGAAAACTCACAAATAAAACACTAGTGGAGTTCCAGCTATTCAGACACACTACCCTTTGAATTTCCAATAAAAAATACCCATTCTCATCATGAAGAATGCCCAACACCAACAAACATATATCAAACAAGCCCATCCAATTACAGGGCCTGCAAAACAGAATAAATACTTTTAAACATGCATTCTACACAAAAATCATCAGGAGACGCAACAAAAAATAAATTACCTGACTGTTATGACATAGTATTGTAATACAATAAACTGGATTTTAGTTTTCTTCACTCTCTGCTCTAGAAAAAAAAAGAATCCATTATTCTTCCTCTTTCATAAGATACACATTTTCTATGAAATAGACACATCCTAAAAAAAAATCCTATATATTTTAAGTTACACACCCCATAACCCAACCTAATTTAATATTACTATTAGGATATTTGGGGAGATGGAGGTCAGAGGAAACCAGGAATCTTGTGTTAGATATAAGATTTCCTTTAAAGGCTGAAAGCCAATCTACCTTTTAATATAAGCTTGCTTAAAATAGGCCTTTCCTTAACAGACCAGTAATATCTTCAGATTCTGATAGTCACTTTCAAGGACTTATTTGGCACATTATAGTAGCCTATGGCAGGAACTAAAGTATGAACGATCATCAGGACGTTTAGGCTAAAGAATGAAACATTTTTCAGTTTAACAGTCTCCTAAAATCATAGTTTAAAAAAGTATTTGGATTGGTCTTCCTGGGTACTTCATTTTTATAATCTAGAAACTGATTTTTGGGGGGCTATAATTGTGCCTGCCTGGTCTCAAGTCATCCAGGATGGACATCATGTACCTGATAGGATGATATGAGTAATTTTGTCTTTAATCACGAAGAATCAAATAAATGATTCTAGTAGTAGAAACGACTAGTAGTACGTTTATTTCTTCCTCCCCTCAATCATCCAAAGCGACTGCGGTTAATTCTGATTCAGGAAATGCGGGCTCTTCATTTGCACCAAAAAATTACTGTGGGACCTTGCAAATGGTGGATGACAACCTGATATAAACGCTTCCTCTTGCCCCCAAAAGAAAAGAATGACCTAAATAACAAGATTGCTAGGCCTCAGATTCCCGGACTAACCTGTGGAATTAAGTATGGGGAAACTGTCTAGGGAAGGAACGTGGCTGTCTCCTCCATCTTGAAATTAATCAGCATAAGGGAAAAAGGGACTGAGTATTCAGGAAGCAGAAGCCCAACCGGTTAATACTAGTTACTAAAGCTATGGCGTACGTGGCAGGTACCGCCCGCAGAAGCCGAGACCCTTAGGCTTTTCTTTTTGAGGGGGGAGGGGTTGGGTTGTTGGCGGATTGAACCGAAATTAAGTTGAAAATCATTTGGCCCAATTCCCACCCTTACCCAGGGAAAAACAACAAACACGCAACGGCTTTTCCCTGCCTTTTCGGGGGATCCCTGCAGTGATAGCTGGCAAAGGATATGCCAGGGTTATTCGAGTAAGGGAGTAAACCACAGTTGCCCCAGATCCTCAGGGAAGATGTCATCGTGGCCCCAGGGGCGCCTAATTGATAGTGCCCAGCAGAAGGGCTCAAAATGGGGTTTTGCAAATCCTGGGAAATCTAAAGGCCCAAGAGTTCCCAGCATCTGACTTAGAGCAGCCTGATTTTTTTCCCCCTTTTCCCAAACCCAAGCCCGCCATATCAAAGGGGGGTGGGGAGGCGAGGGAAGCCTCCAGAGAACCAAAGAGAAAAACCTGAGACGATCGAAGATTCTCACGCCTGAGGCCAACACTCAAAAATCGCCTCCCCCAAATTCTTAAGGCTGTGGAGGGCCCCGGCTTTAGCGCGCACCGCCACGGAGAGGAAGTACTACCCACCTCCTTCCCCTTCTTCAAGAGACTGTGACTATACACCCAACTAAAATGGCAGCGGCGACTACGCCACGGAGCCCCCCGCAGCAATCAGCGCCTGGGGTCCGGAGGCGGTGCTGAGCGTCCGCCACGACGCGACACTCAGGCCATTTTTAGAGAACGCGGCAGCCGCGGCTCCGCTGTCTTCCCCTCGCTCTCCATCCATTTCTCAAGAGGATTTCCCAAGGCTTCACTTACTGGGTTTTAGTGTCGGGTCCGACTCTGTCGGTTCGGCCGCCGCCGCCGCCGCCGCCGCCGAGGCTCCTGCGCGCCTCCCCTGCCGCTGCTCTCAAGCCCGCCTCCGATGAGTCGCTGGTTGAGACCCGCCTCTAGCCCAGCGCCTGCTCGGAGACGTTGCTCAGGCAGCCATTATCTTCCCCATTGTTACCAAGCAGCGACAGGAAACGACTGCCCACAACAGGAAGTGATGATGCCGCGTCCCGGCTCCGCAGCCCCACTCCCAGCCTATTAGCCAATCCCAGGCGATTCCTCGAAAAGGCTCGGCGGGAGGAAGAAGGGGGCAGCCGACGACGCGGCAAGGCGGGCCGCGGTCTGGAAAAGGAGAGCTGCTGTGACGCCCACCATGTGACAGGCCCCACCCTCCTCCGCCATTTTGAATTGTGGCGAGAAATTCGCGTTCTGAGGACTGTGGGAACCTGAGCTTTCCCGGTTTTGAAAACTGAAGAATGTCACCATCTGACTGCTTGAAGCCTTTCTCAGAGAGCGCGAAATGCGGTATTAGTCCAACCTGACATCGATCACACAATTAGGTCAGACTAGTTTGTACAGCATCTTACCTTATAGTCAACATACATTTATTGAGTGCCAACTGTATGTCAAGCATTGTTGTGGATGTTGAGAATACAGCGCAAATTAAAACGGACCAAAAGCCCAGTTCTCGTGGTTCTTTATATTCTATTTTCTCATGGTTCCTCATCCTCGGGGAAGGGACAGTAATTACTGTATATCTATGTGTATCTATTTGGTGATAAATACTAGGGAGAAAAAGCAGAGGAAAGGGGGTGGGGTGGGAGAGTGCCTGGTGGGGGCAAACGGGAATTGCGATTTTAAAGACCGGTCAGAGATGGCCTCTCTGAGATGGTAATTTTCTGAAATACTTGAAAAGGGGCGATGATTGTAAAAGGGTGGGAAAATCTGATAACGTTGGAATTTGTAAAAGGACAGTTACAGAAGGCCTTTCTTAGATGGTAATGCCTGAAGGAAGTTAGGGAACCAGCCCCACAGCGTCCAACTCCGGTTTTCACAGTTAATTTAGAAAATCAACCTTACCCAAGTTTTTAGGGTGTTTCCGTGTTTCTTTTTCCATTTTTCTGTTTTCTCTGTTTCCAGGTAACACTCCAGCTACACGCTTTCTTACTATTCTTCCAACAAAACCAAACTTGTTCCCACCTCTACAACTTTATATAGGCTCGAATATTTTCCCTTCTTGTCTTTGCTCTTATTAACCCAGCCTCTCCTCAACTGTCATCTCCCCAGAGGAGTCTTCCCTAATCACGCTATCCAAAATAACAACTTCCCCATTCCCTTACCTGCGTAATTTTCTTTAAAGTACTTATTCTGAAAGTATATTATTTATTTGTTTACCCCACCCCTTAAGAGCAGTAAACTTTATTGTTTTGTTTATTGTTATAACGCCAGCGAGCTCATAGTAGACGATCAGATATTTTTTGAGAGAATGCGCCCCCTCAGCGTGATGGCCATATCATCAGCCTGGAATATAAGTATTTCACTCCAAGCAGTTACCATAATATGCTCATATTTCCTGCTCATCTTCCCACCAGGCTTGATATTGTCATTTTTAACAGTATGTGTACATAGTTTAGCTGCTGTGGCTCTACTCAGTTTTTGTCTTATATGATGTAGTCATGTACCAGAACTTTTACCTAGAATGTGTAAAATGAATTCTTCAGTGGCCTGTAAGGGCTATTAAGCCTGATATTGAGCTTCTGGTAATAACATTAGCCACTCCTTGACATATTCTTGAGGCAAACATGGCTTATCGTGAAATTTACAATCATAAAAGAAGTAGGAGAAATTCACTTACATGTGAATATGTCTACATCCTTGGGGACGTGGAAGGACTTTCTAAACATGACACAAAATTAAAAAAAATACTGTTAAATAAGACTTCATAAATAAAAGCTTCTTTTTTTTTTAAAGATTTATTTATTTATTTTTATTTGAGAGAGAGAGAATGAGAGAGAGCGAGTACATGAGAAGGGGGAGGGTCAGAGGGAGAAGCAGACTCCCTGCCGAGCAGGGAGCCCGATGCGGGACTCGATGCGGGACTCGATGCGGGGCTCGATGCGGGACTCGATTCCGGGACTCCAGGATCATGACCTGAGCCGAAGGCAGTCGCTTAACCAACTGAGCCACCCAGGCGCCCCTAAATAAAAGCTTCTGAATGTCAAAACACAAGGTTAGCGAAGTTAAAAGAGAAATGACAAACAAAAAAATAATTTCAACATGACATATGAGAACTAAGGGGTAATACTAGTCTATAATAAAATTAAAAGAAATGACAAATTGGTAAAAATGTTACATATATGATAAACATATATGACAAATATCACAAGTCTATAAAGAACTATTAAAAATTTATTTTTTAAAAAGATAAACACCCCTTATGCTAAGGACATAAATAAGCAATTCAAAAAAGGAGAAAACATTTGCCCGACAAGCATATGATAATAGGTTCATATTCTCACTAGTAACCAGATGTGAAAATAAAAACAGTAATTTCTGCTTTTCCTCTTAGAATGTCAAATATTAAAAATTTGATAATATTAAGTTTTGATGAAGATCCTATGAAATAGGCACACCTGTATGGTACTGGTACAAATTGATATAACTTAGCAATGCATATCAAATGCCTCAATGTCCTGTTTGACCACCAAGTCCACATACAGAAATTTAAGGAAAAGAAGTGAACACATTTGCGAAGATGCATATAATGAATGTACAAAGATTTTAATCATAGTGAGGCTTATAATATTGAAATACTGAAAAATCAGGAAACTATTCAACAATATTAGTGAAACACTTTATAGTATTTCTACATAATGGACTCCTACATAGCCATTAAAAATTAGTAGCTAGATCTGGAAATATGTTCAGGTTATGTTTTTAATGAAAAAAAGCAGTTTATAAAGTAGCATGTGTGATTCTATTTTTATATTAAAAAGATATGTGTAAATATGCATAGAAAAAGTCTAGATGTGTATACATGCAAATAAAATATGAAGGGATGATTATTAGTCACCTTTCTTCTTTCCTCTTTTTGCATTGTCTTGAATATTTTGCGATGTGCATGTATTACTTGATATTGGGAGAAGGGGCTATTTTCATTTTGAAAGAAACATCTGTCTGAATCTGAAAAAGGAAAAAAAAGAGTATCTTCACATCCACCTATTTTTTCTATTCATCATTTAATTATACCCTTTCTCTCTTTCTTTCTTCTTTTCTTTTTGTCTTCCTCTCTTCCATGTATTCTTCTATGCTGTTTTATAAGCAAGGAACTGCTTACTTCCAATATCTTGGAAGTGACTTCTCAAAACAGTTTATCCTATGATGGCATTCAGTGCCGCCCTAGAACCCAAGGAAACAACCACTGACTAATTTTCATTCAGCTTCCATTCAATCTAATTGCATTTCTCTCCCATGCACTTCTTACACATATGTGTGATGTTCAAATGATTTTTACCCCTTCCTGGTGAGATGTCCTTCAAGAGGAAAAAAATAAAAGATTTTCCCAGTCTTTCTTGTGTTCTTTTATTCAACAAAATGTATTGATCATCTGCTATATGCTGGTCACTGGGAATAGATCAGTAGACCACAGACAGGAAGACCCTACCCTTGTGGCAAGACAGACATTGAACAAATACTTAACAAATGTAATGAATATTACAAAGGAGACATGTGGGTACAATGGGAGGGGTATATAAAAGGAACATTTAACCTGGAGATGATGCCACTTTTAGCTGAGACCTGAGCTGAAGTAAGAATGACAATTAGAGAGGGGGAAAAAAGATTAAGGAGGAGCTCTGGAAGAGGGAATATCTGTACAAATTTCCTGGGGTGAGAAAATGGGGAACTGAAAGAATATCTCATTTTCTTTAGAAAATCATTCTATGTAATTTTCATCTTAGCATTCATCTCACTGGAATTTATCTATCTTGTCTATTTGTTTATGTTGTTTACTGTTTGTATGTCTATGTTTCTAGCCTGTCAGTCTTACCACTGTCCTATCCCCAGTGTTAAATTCCATGGGAACTGAAGCTTTGCCCCACTACCTCACCGCTGTATTTTCTGAGCCTAAAATACATAATGGACAATCAATATTCCTTGAATGAATCAAAGAATTAGCTTGTAGTTCATATTAGACATTCTGGATCTTAAGGACAATGGGAAGTTGTTGAAAAGTTTTTACAAGATCATTTTAAAATTATCTGATAAAGCGTTTTTTTTAAAGATCTTTATGACTGCCATATGCTCAAGATTGCATTTTCTTTATAGTAGTTATAGTTACTATTTTTTTTAAAGATTTTATTTATTCATTTGAGACACAGAGATACACAGAGAGAGAGAGAGCATGAGCAGTGGGAGAGGCAGAGGGAGAGGGAGAAGCAGACTCCCGGCTGAGCCAGGAGCCTGATGTGGGGCTCGATCCCAGGACCCCGGGATCATGACCTGAGCCGAAGGCAGACGCCCAACCATCTGAGCCACCCAGGCGCCCCTATAGTTACTATTTTTTTTAAGTAGGCTTCACGCCCAGCATAAGGCTTGACACCGGGCTAGAACTCACAACCATGAGATCAAGACCAGAGCCGAGATTAAGAGTTGGACACTCAGTGGACTCTGCCACACAGGGACGCTGAGCATACTTACTATTTTTAAGATTCAAAAATCCTTTATCTTTAGGAAGATCAACTGGTTTTGTTTTTTAAAAAATGACACCCACAAAATATCTATTTATTTAGTTTAACTGATACTGCCCATAGTGTCTAAGGAGCTTTTTTTTTTTCCTAATATTTTGAGTAAGAACTACTGGCCAAAATCACTTTAACCAGAAAACTAATGTCTGCATCTTGGCGATTCCATTTTGCCTCAGTTTGCTCCTTTAGGGGTTCACAAGATATAAATGAATTCTAAATATTTTCTTCAGTTTGCCCTGAAGAAGAGAATAGCAGGATGGGAAGGGATAAGCGAAAGGTAATCAGTAATTCATTCTTTCATTCATTCCATTAAGTCATTCATTCAACAATAAAGTGTGCCATGGCATTGTACTAGGCCTTGGGGCTATAGATATAAAAGATATAATCACTGCCCTGAGAAAATTCACATCCAGAAGAAAAGAGGCAGGATGT